CCAATAAATATACACGCGTAAGTCAGTTTACAAGTGTAATTGTCTGTCATAAGCTTGTCATGAACAAATAAACAAATATATATATATATATATATATATATATATATAATTACATATATATATTATCAAAGTTGAAACAGTGCTCAATCCCACTGAAAAATCTATCTCTTATACACATCTAGATGTGTATAAGAGACAGATTATGCACTTGTCAATTGTAGTCCAAACTTCCATGGAAACTGCTAAGTGATACGCACGCGTAGTGCTTCCATCAAGGAACCTCATCTCCTTGGCCTAGCTCTCACGTTGCTTCTCCGATTCAGACCTACTGTAGGCTAAACCTTCAAGTAGGTTTTATCCTCCAATCATTTATTAGCGAGGCATTTTCCCAGGACTACGGCGGTGTGGCGGGGACTTAGCCGGGGATGTACATTAAAACGATGCTCCGCATTGCTAGGAGGTGGCCGGGACTCTCACATGCATGTAACCATTTTGGAAATTACATCCCCTGCTAAGTCCCCGCAAGGCCCAAAATGAGGATAAAAATAGGCCAGCAAAAACTTGCCAACTTTCAATCCTCCGTGTTTTTACAAATACTCAAGTTTATGAAGTCATTAACACATTGTACCCTTACAAATCTACAACAACTTTGCTACTATTAGATAGTAAAGAGGCCCACATTTGGCAAAGAGTAGAAAGAGGAGTCGCATGTGGCACTGCGCGTGACTTCATGACAGATGAATTCCATAGGACGATCACATTAAGCATACTAGACAAATTTCTTAAAAGTAAATCAAGTGAAATGCTTTGAATCAAAGGATTACCGTGGTAAAGCTCGAGGTAATTTATTTTCAGAGTTCCAACATTTCTGAATTTCGAAGGAAATGTTTGCATTGGCATGTAATGGAAAGATGGTTAAGAAAGGTTCCCGGGTTCAAGTCCCGGTGAAGGCTGATTGTTTTTATCTTTTTGTCATTTTGTCGGATTCATTTTCTTTCATTAATATTTAAAATTAATTGCATTATCCGGATTGCTATTAAGATTATAAATACGAGCTTGCTTGGAAATTGTTTGTTAAACTGAAAGCGTTCACTTTTTTTTTTGTGTGGTTTTTGTTGGGTTTTTTTTAGTATTATTTTAAATACTCTTTACTCACGCTTATATCTTTTCAGTGGTGTAACTGGTGAGTGTCATGCCACCTCGCCTCGCTCCCTAACCCCCCAAAAAATTCTCACCCCTTCCATCTCCTATTGACAAAGTTCCATGCAAACAAATCACCTCATATCACCTTATTTTGTGTGGTAGGCCCCCACCCCACCTTACATAATCATCGAGCCCTTCCCCATCCCACTTAACATTAGTTCCCCCATGAGGCCCTCCATTTCAAAGATTCCTAGATACTCCATTGTACCTTTTACCTTTCATCTATAGAGATATTCATTATTTTTATATGCAGACGTATTTTTTATCAAGATCCAGCTTGTCATTCGTTAATGCACAGGAAAGGGTTACCTACAGATCTTTGACCGTCTCGTTCATATGGGGATTAGCGCTCTCCTAAATGTGACGTCAGACATTTAGAAAAATAATGGAAAAAAAAAGAAACAATCACTTGCAATTGGACGTTAATAATTTACTTAAATATACAAAATGAGCAATCCAAATATGGAATTGATTTTTAGCTCATGACGGATAGTACATCTAGCATTTTTTTTTAACAAGATAGGATCTCTGACCATGGAAAGACATACTATAAATCGTCTCGCGATAATGCGCTAAATGAAAAAAGTGATTTTTCTTTTTCTTGTAAAGTTGCCCAATTCAAATCATTTCATAGTGTCCAATGGATTGTGTGTCACCAGACCAACAATGACGTACCGGTATCTAGGGGTGCGTAGGGTACTAGAACGTAAGAGGGTTGCTCGCATGCGGAACCCCCTTGCCCCATTCAGTCTTCCCTACTGATAGCTTTAAGTAAAAAAATATTACCCTTAAATAGTTATAAATAATCATCGATCCCTCCATCTTACCTTTCCTTCCCACCCCGTCCATTTTAATATCCTATACGCAGATCGCAGTCCAACGCACATTCACGCCGTTCTGAGATAAGTTCATCTAGAGTTATATCCATCAAGATTCACATGTACTGAAATGCTTAAAGGGGTTGTCCCCGTGTTCATGTAATATATTATTGTTATTATCAGCATTAATCCTGATACATGCTAATATAATAAAACATCACGAACTTTCCTTTCCAATCTACAGTTGATCTTTTTCAGACAATATTGAAGCATATGGCTAATCTAAGATGGCCTTATATAGTGTAATTCTGTTTTTATTTTAATTGTTAACTGCCACACATACGGTTACGTCATCAAATTTAAAGACATCCCTTCCCCTACAGTAGCATATCTGTAACAAGTTAGGTGATTCATGCCCTTTGCTATGAATCAACGATCATCATGATGACGAATAGGATAAATTCATCAAATTCTTTTTTCAGAAATGTATAACTAAAAATACTACAAAAGGTAAATAAATACAAATCTGAGGATTTGATATGTAATTAAATGTAGGCAATAAGTAGACCTAAACAGGATTACCTGGATAAGCCAAACAGCTTTCGGGCTTATCTTTCGGGGTCTATGACATTGAAGATAATCTATATACGTACATAAATTCCAGAAATATTAAATATAGGCCTACACTATAATAACAATCAAGAGTTCGAGCATAATATGACGTCATAGTAGTCCTAGATATACCAGTGCTAAGCTGAGCAATTTTATAATACTCGCATTTCCTCTAACAATTTTACGTTATAATCACGTTTAATAACATTACCGGTTAGTATTCAAAATTCTTTATAGAACCATAAATACTAAATAACGTTGCACACGTTGATGGAAACTGATCTCAACGTTATTGTCTCACATAACCCATAGAGAGATCATTAATAAAAACTATAAGACGGAGACAGCTACAGTTTTTAGGACACATCTGCCGTCACAAGGGTTTGGAATATCTATCTATCACGGGGAAGATCGAGGGGAGACGCAGCAGGGGTAGACAAAGAATTACTTTTATTGGAAGTTTAAACTCATAGTTAACCAAAAACGGCAACAACAATGACCTTCTAAGGTTAGCTGAGGACAGATTTGAGTGGAGAACCATGATCGCCAATGTCTGTTCCAGACAGGGTACCTAAAGAGAGAGAACCCATAGAGAAAATAGAATCTCTATGCATAACCTGAACAACAACGTTCGCGAGTGTTAACGGTTGTGCTTCCTGGACTGCTTTGCGATACATTGCTAACTACTAGGCCTACTATAGGCCTAAGTTTGTTTTCTAATATTGAGAATAAACAACAGCGCTATAAAACAGATCAAGAAACAGTACGTAGAACATCCCAGGACATGGGGCAATGAAATAAGAGTGAAATTTACAAAATATATAAGCTAACATACATTTTTTAATGATAATACAGTACAAAGTTTTCTTTTTAAACGTTGAAAAGTATGTGAACAAATGGATACCATACCATAAATAATGAGTAATAGGAACAATATATATATATTAATAAACGCATTTTGTAATCAATTGGTTGTTTATTTTAATACAGTTTTAAAATGTTATTTCAAAGTCACACATTACAATATGAGAGTACCACGTACTGAATGATAGTAAGATATAATGAGCGAAGCCTATAAATACATAGATATAAAACTCATGAAAAAGAGAGAGAACATGGACCATTAAAACAACGAAAAATTATACAAAAGCCCAAAGAAAAACAATAACTGAAGTGCTAATATTCGTATGTTATAGCCTACATTACAGATATGAGAGTTCATGATCAAAGTTTATGATTAAAGACAGAAAATTATTGAAAATATCTGAGTTTTATAGAGAATTTAGCCTGAGATTTAGATGGTAAAGCTGACATTTGCTTATATAAGAGATTTGAAATGGTGGTGGGAGGTGGGGGGAGGGTGATGGGTTCAATGATTAAGTGAGGGAGAGCTTGTAAAATAAGGTGATATAAGTTTATTGTTATCTATTTTTACACCCTAGAGGGTTTAGGCCTATCTAGAGGTGTATACCTCTAGATAGGCCACTAAAAGCCGACTTCCAAATTAGGCCTACCCTGACCATTGACCCACAAACCACTGGTCAATTAATCATGAAGAAGCAATGGTAATAAAATCGGAAGACTTTAAAGTCATCAGCCAAAAAAGAAACAGTTGGACGAGACGACAGATTATTAACGAAAAGATGAAAAAAATGTAGGCCCAAAGACGAAGACAGCCAGTCGGAGGCATGTACGTAACAACCCGATTGACTAGAAATAAAAACGTTATTTAATATTATCTCTATAAATAAATAAATAAATATTAAACCTCCTAAAAAATTGTGGAGCATGACAATTACTAATTGTAGGCCTATAATAATTATAATCATACAAATAAACAATAATAAGCGTCTTACAAATACTGTAGTATAATAATAACAGTGCTTAAATAGGAGCATGATGTTATAATCGTATTAAGCATAGCTGCGACCCAAGCCTTTCTAGCTTAACCCTCCAATAGGCCTATATGTGAGCGTTTCAGTCAGTTGTATGAGAGGAAGTTCTTGGGGCTACATCTCCGCGTATACCTAGGTCTCCGTAGTTTAATGGTATGATACTCACCTTGATAGGGCATAGCGAAAGGTTGTAGGTTTGAACCCACCAGAACTGATGAAAAAGGAACATATTGAATGGCTATGCTTTATACGCTTATAAAATTATGTTCCTATTTTAGCACTGTTATATACATAATACATACATACATACATACATACATACATACAT